AGACCCCGAGATGACTGGTTCCCCACACAATTTTTTACATCCACTGACCCCACCCTGCTCCTTGGCTATGAATTCCCACTTGTCCTTGTTGTATCCGAAATTGAGCCCAATCTCTGTCCCCTATGGTGAAACCCCATGCCTGTCCCTATCCCTGTCCTCAAGGTATTAAATAAAGTCTGCCCCACCGTTCTTTAATGAGTGTCATGAGTGATTTTTTTCTTTAACAATGTGGACCATGGGTTTTGGAATTAGGCTGCCCGTGTTTGAATCCCAGGTCCTCTATGCACTGGCACGTTGCATAACCTCTCTGAACTCCAGTGTCCTCATTTCTAAAACAGGAGTTCTGACTGTGAGGACTGGAGGAGATCGTTCATGTGAAGCACACAACAGGCTGCCTGGCCTGTACTAAGTGCTCAGAAAAATTGTGTGGGGAACCAGTCATCTCGGGGTCTCAAAATCCTAGTCAGGCCTGTGTGGGTGAGAGAGCATGGCCTTTGGATCTGGACAGAGCTGCCCTGCAGCCACTCAACTCACGCTCCAGACAAGGCCCATGGGCACAGTGATTCCCAGCTCAGTCTTTCCTGGGGTGAAACCAAAGGCTGTGGGCGAAATCGCCAAGCGAGGCCCCAGGAAGTGGCAGCTATTATCTTTATTGCTAAACTACCTGCCGGGCACATAGTAGGTCCGACTCAGTCTGTGGTCTCCTGCAGCCCTGCCCCAGGCCATGCTACCCTGAGTAGCACCCCCAGAGCTGGTGAGGCCCAGCCACTTACCAGGTGAGGGTGAGCGTGCCGGGGTGGAGGGTCCATGTCTCCAGAAAGCAGGTGACAGTCTGGAAGTAATCGGTGTAGCAGACAAGGTCTGGACAACCCCAGGCTGGAGGTGAGAAGAGAGGGGCCTCGGTTATGGGGCTGGCAGGAAGCTGCGGGGCTCCTCACACCCTCACCACCTCCAGGGCTGGAGAATGAGTGGAGGCCAGGACGACTATGACGACTCAGGGGCCACTAAGTTGTGGGCCTGGGGCGAGGGGGTCCTTGCCACCTGAGATTCCTTATTTGCGTACCCGAAGTTTCAAGGCTGGCTATGGAGACAAGACACTCCTAATGTGAAACATTATAAACTGAGCTGGTCTCTCCCCACGAGCTCCATGTTCCGCAACCAGGTCAGCGTCCCTCCTGGCCAGTTTCCCTCTCGGGGTGGGGTTTCCTGAACTCCCCAGTTGCAGGACGAACCCGCACGTGACTCGAGAGGCACTCATGAGGCCAGCAAGAGTGCTTCTGAAAATGCCCTGATCCCTGACAAGGAAGAGTCCTCTGCTCCACAGCAGCTGGCCTGAGACAGGACACGGACCGACCTCGGTGATGCTGCAAGTGCTTCAGAGAATAAGAAGCTTCCGAAAACTGAGACGCCCTTGAATGCTTTTGCCAAAATGTTGCCCAAACCATCACCACCACCAGCAAGTGGCATGGGGATCGCCAGCTCGGGTAATTCTGTCAGAAGTTTCAACGCCCTCCCGCCTCCAACATTCACTGCTTTGCTTTGTCCTAAAAATGTGACCATAATCTAAATTTTGTTCAATCTTTGACAAAATACATGTAATAAGTTTTAGCTTTGTTTTGTGAGATCAAGTGCTGACACTACTGTTCCACCCCAGTATTTACTAGAAATTTGCTTGCTTTTTTAAGTGGATTCATTTTAGAGAGGTTTTTTTTCCTATTTTTCCTCGACTAATGTAGACCTGGCGGCAAGGGGGTCCATTCCCTTCCTGGGCCTCACTCTAGGTCAGAAGCTGGATTCGGAACCAAGAACATTGCTGCTGGAAAGTCCTTTAGTCCACCCTACCCCCACCCCACACCACTCCCGTTTTCTAGATGAGAACTCTGAGGTTCCGAGACCACACTACACCTCTCGTCCGTCTTGGTCTGGGCTGCTGAGACTCTCACTCAAGAAATCTAATCTGTGCTGGTTCTCCCCATCCGCACACATGGCAGACATTGCCAGTCGATCGTTGACGCTCTCTCCCCTGGCTGTGGCCTCAGAATCCTTCTCAACACAGTTCTCCCAGCAGCCACCGCCAAGGTATCTGGGCTGTGGAAATGAATCCTGCTCTCGGGCGTGGCTTCTCTTGGAGAGGAGCACAGGGCCCGTTGGTGGGGCGCAGAGGAGCTAGTTCAGCACTTTGTGGAGAATGGAGGACTGATTCTGGCAGGACCTCAGCCCAGAGCTGCAGAAGCCACCACACGGCTGTGTCTCCTCCATCCATCCAAGTTTCTATCCTAGTAGTTCTCTCTCAAGACTTCAGATCTTGGAGAGAAGCTGCCACTCTTAGTTGGGCTCAAGGCCACCAAGGTATAGGGTTTATCCCAAACTTGGAATAAAACATTGGGGAGGGAACGGCAGCCCCCAAACTAGCATGGAGGTGGCATGAGGGACCAGAGGGACCCAAAAAACCCAGTCACCTGGTCAATAGCCAGACTGTGGATCGAGAACCCCAGGGCCATTCCTGGCCTGGGGTTGTCAAAGTGTGGACATGTGACTCATGACTGCTTACATCCCTATCTATAAGCTGGGGACACTGGCCCTCTTGGCAGGTGTGGAGGCACATATATGACGTCACGCCAGTGCAGCCCACACTGCCTGCCCGTGGCACTTGCTCAATAAAAGCAGCAAAGCCGGGGGGTTAAGACCATAGGAACAGATTCGAGAGCCGATCCCAGCTCGGCGTGGTCATGGCCTTGTCCCCTACCCTCCCTGAACCACAGTTTCCTCAACTGAGAACGGGGTGTCATTGCAGCATGGACCTCGGGGGGGCTGTAAGGAGAATGGCACGAGATCATGCTCTGCACCCCCTACAACGGGGGCTTATTATTTGCTCCCACGGGGTGGGGAGCTGTGGCAGATGACCTGAAGACCCATTAGAGCCAGGACAGGGTGCTGGTCATTCAGAAAGAGAAAATAAAAAGCCCAACTCCTGTTTCCTGAAGGAGCTAATGAGAGGTTCTGGGCCTTTGGGTAAAAACCAGAGAGAAATGCCGATGGTTAGCAGAGTGGCAGCTGAGGATCCCCTGCCTCTCGTCAGCCCCACTGGAGCCCGTGTGCTGTGTTCTGCCTCATCCGGGAAGGCTTCCTGGATTTCTCAGCCCTGGCTGTCTGACATCTCCCCCTGACTACAACATCCCCTGATCCTCTGGGGCTGCCTTCCAAGGCTCTGGTTACTTTTGTGGCCACCTCCACTCTCTCCCCTGGGGAATATCAGTGCCTGCTGAGGATCCCGTGATAGTTGAAGAACATCCTCGAGAAGGGTCCTTGCACAAGGAGGAACTAAAGGCAGGACTTTCTCTGAGGGCCGAAACCGGCTAAGGCAGAGAGCCAGGGAAATGCAGGATGAAGTCTCTGATAGGCCCAGTGAGACCTGACGACCCAACATGGAGGGCTTGCGGGGTGGCGCTTGGGACTCCCCTGAACCACTTCTGGCTAATGGAGCTCTCTGGTTGGATGGGTTCTGGTTCACAGAGAGCTGGCCGCTCCACTTGTATCAGCCTCTAGAGGGCAGATGCCATCGACTCTGACCTTGGGGCCTGTAGCCATGCCTTGGAGCCCACAGGCCAGCCCAGCCCTCCCCCTGCGGACAGCAGGGCAGCTACTCACCACTCTGAAGCATCAGCAGGAGCAGAAGGGCAGCCCAGTCGGGGGGCATGCTGATTCCCAGGGGCCTAGAAGAGACACACAGCAAAGGGTAGGCCCTGAACAGCCTCCTTCTGGTCCCCGTCCCTTCCTTGGAAGACTTGCCTCAGATTCTTGAATTTGTCTCAGAAAAACAAGAGTTTGAGAAGCCCGCAGATGCTCCCAAGGATTCCTGCCTCTTAGAAATGGCTGACTCACCCTGTGGATCCCTCCCTACTTTTCCTGCCTTCTTCCCATCCCCCTTACACAGTCATGAATGACAGGTGAATTCAAAGAGGGTGGATCGCCGCTCTTTTTTTTTTTACCTATATTGTGGAATTAAACGTGGGCATTTATACAGCTAAGAAAGAAAGAGGAAGTGGGGGGAGGGCGCACTGGTTTGGAAAGTGGTTTTTAATGAGCAGCAAGCTTGAGTCCTTCTCCCATGAAGCACCTGTGTTGACATTAGCCCCCAAAATTGTCTCCTTACTAAATAACAAGTCCAAGATTCACCCGCAAAGCAGATGCCCACTGAATACCTAACACAAGGTTAACCCAATAATGAGCCTTCTTACTCAATCCAAAGCCCAGGTTAGCCCACTAGGGAGTGACTTGGGTGCCCAAATCTGACCGAACCAAGGCAACCTGGGCTCCCTGGCCGGGAAGAGATGGAAAAGAGACCGCTTCAGAGAACAGAGCAAGCCTTTCCAGAAGGAGTAAAGTTTGATGCCCTGGGCAGAGGAACAACCCACCAGGCTGGCAATGCCCATTGCACCCCCAGCTCTGTGTCTACTTGGGAAGTGCCAGCCAGAGGCCAGTAGGTCTGCCTGCCAGGCTCAGGAGCCCCACCCAGACCACCCCCATGGACAGGGGTGTAGCTGGAACTGGAGCCTAGAGAGATGACCCACTCAGGGACCAAGTCACGCACATGGCTTCTTCCAGACACCATCCCTGAAACCACAATGGGAAGCCCTGCCACCAAGGGTCCCCCCAGATCCTACTCTGCCCCCATCAAGAGCAGGCAGTGATGAAGGGCACAGAGAGGTTCGGATTACCACCTGTGTGGCTCTGGGCTAGTCACTTCCCCTCTCTGAGCCTTGTAGAGTAGAGATGGTAAAGCCTGCTTCCAGGATTCTTGTGATAATTCAAAGAAATGATTTGTAGAAAACCCTGGGCATGGTCCCTGACACATAAACACTTAATAAACAGCCATGATTAATATAGAATTTAGAGCATCAGAAATGGGTGGGCTCCAGAATGATCTAGCCAAGAGATCCCCAAATTTCTCACTTTCAAAATAATGGCCATATTTGTAGATCGTGTGTACTATTTATTTAATATATTTCTATAAAGGAAGTTACTTAAAAATTAACTTCAACCTCATCCTAAGCAACAGCTGTCCCCAACCTTCTTGACACCAGATACTGGTGCTTCTATGAAACTCTGATGCCTGATGGTCTGAGGCGGAGCTGAGGCAGCGATGCTAGCGCCGGGGAGCGGCTGCGAATACAGAGGAAGCTTTGCTCCCTCGCTCACTGCTCACCTCCTGCTGTGCAGCTCTTACTGGTCCAAGGTCAGGGGGGTTGGGGACCCCTGCTAAGTAAGCAATAATATCCATAGTTGTATATTTTTTTCCCAACACATTTTAAAATAAATAACATAGCTATTAAAATAAGATGATGACGGGGCAAAACCCATTTAAACTGCTTTAAATAACATTGACCTTCAGGAGCCCAAGCCCAGCAGGAACCCCGTTGTCACACTTTGAGGATTTAATCCCCACAACAGGAGGTAGAATCTGGGTCTGCCCCTCGTTAGTGTGCTGGCACCTGTGACCCCGGCCTCAGCACAAGGCCTGGCATAGTTGTCACTCCCCAGAGGCTCCATTGCCACCACAAGATAAAGCACAAGCTCCTTGCCCAGATTCAAGGCTTATCCTCACTCCACATCCTCTGTACTGCACAAACAACTCCCAGGCCCCTGGGGACAGAGGGGACCTGCTGCTTCTATCTGCCTGGCGTCTCCTCCCTTCTTATAAAGAGTTGCCCAGACTGGCGTTGACTTGAACGTCTACTCCATAGGGCGAGCACTTGACCAAGGCCTGTTCAACAAAAGTATCCCTACCCGCCTGCTTGGCCACTTTAAATGAGTCGGGAAGGGATACTGACCCAGGAAAGGCCAATGAGAGCAATCCTGGGAATTTTTTCTAGAACTCTAATAAAGAAGGACTTTTTGCTGTGTCTACTGGAAGCTGGCAACCATCTCTGTCACCTCCTAGAGAGAGCCTGCTGAAAATGATGACAGTACTGAGAAATACAGACCCAGTGTTCCCATGGCATCATTTGAGGACCTGGATGCAGCTGGGTCTGATGTCCGTACCTGGACTTTTCACTTACATAAGCAAAAACACATGTTGCTCACACAACCATGTTGAATTATGCTTCTGTTGCTTGCCATCAAAGAAACCTGATCCAGTGGGATAAAGCAAAGGACATAGAATATGAAGCCAGAAGATCTTGGAGCTCCTCTGGCCCTTTTATTTCTGACCTCAGTTATCATCTCTGAAATTAGGACAGTAATGCCCACTGCACCTGGCAGTTAGGAAGAGCCAGTGAGAAAGCAGACGTGGCAGTGCTCTGTGAACTGTAAGTTACCATACAAGGATGCTGGGTTCTTGCTGTTACTGGCCCACTGATCTTAATTACTCATCATCCCCCTAGCGCCCCAGGCCTCAGAACGCCTCTCTGCCTTGCATGAAGCAAATTCTCCTGCTGCATCTTCTCCTTGAACACCTCGTTCCATCCCATCACTCTAGACTCAGGCTTCACGGCCCACCCGCTCTATTCCTGCATCTGTAAAGCTACATTAGAATGTTCCAGAACTCCTACCGCTTACGACATTTGAGGTTTTCATTTATGCTATTTATCTTTATTTTACATCTCATTTTTTGCTCCAATAAACATGTCTCGAAAGAAAATGTAGTATCATTGCCATCAATAGGTAACTAGTATGAATTGGAGAGGTAGTATGTACCACGGTGGTTAAAACACAGACTTGCGGCTCACTTGCCTGGGTTCAAATCCCAGCACTGCCATTTATTTACAGGCTGTGTGACTTTGGGAAGTTCATTCAACCTTTCTGGGCCCCAGGATCCTCATCTGTGAAATGGAGATAATAATAACAGTACCTACCTCATAGAGTCTTTGGGAGAATTAAATTAGTCAATACTTGTAAAGCATTTGGAACAGTGCCTGACAAAACAGTCTACTTATCATAAAACTAAATACTGTGAAAAGTCAAAACTAAATACAAGGAAAACAAAAGACAGTTATTGAATTGTAGGAAGATACTATCCCCTGCCTGAGACTTTTAGGACTTGAGATCTTGTTTGCCTTTGTTTAAGAAGGGGGATCGAAGAGTGTCAGAGAGTTGTTTCAGACATACTAGCACCAATGTGAGACTCACCCCCTACATCATCAGAAGATTGAAAGAAGGTTGAAAAGGATCTAACTCTCTCCCTAGGGGTCCAGGGATATTTAACACCATCTAAAGTAAGCTGCTTGCTTCTGGGAAACATCAGCCTTGAATGATGAAACCTTCTCCTCGTGTTCTCACAGCACCAAGTGGGAACACCTCCCCATCCCACTGTGCTCCCTCCCCTGAATCCATTTTTTAATGGGTCATCCCATTCAGGCTGACCCCTGAGGACAACAGCAACTTACTCCCCAAGATGGACACCAGACCACCAGGTGCTTCCTGAGTGAAGGACAGAGGGTGCCCTACAGGGCTTTCTCCTATGGGAGTCCCTGCAGCAGCACCCTACCTCTGCAGTCCCCTACAGAGGAGTGAAGAGCACCTGGCTTGGAATCTGCCAGGTCCCATCTGGGCATCTTTGGGCAAGTTCCTCATTCCCCTGATTCTTTTTTCTCATCTATAAAATGGGAGTCATGAGTCTTTGCTGCAGGTTTGTCATAAGCACTAAATGCATCATTGCATGTGAAGCATTCCAGCACAGTCTTGGATGTGATGGAGCCCTGGAAAGGTGTTTATCCACCAGGCTCCAGTGCCAAGAAATGATTTCTGGACTTCTGGAAATACAGATTAAAAGGTGGCCACATTTCAGGAGATTCTGGGGAAGCAGAGAAGCTTGGGGGTAGGAAATCTGATTGGAGTAGGTGCTATAGAGAATATAAAGTGCTTAACTGCGCAGTCAACAGAGAGATGCAAATAAAAACCACAATGACATTTTAATTTTATCAGATTGGTGCAAACTAAAAGTCTGATGACATCACATGTGGCTGAGGATATGGTGTAGGAAGTTCTCATTCACAGTCAGTGGAAATGTAAACAAATACTATTGGTCTGGAAAATAGTTTGACGTGATCAAATTAACTTGAGCAAGTGCTTGCCGTAAGACCCAGCAATTTCACCCCTATGTGCACCACAAATGAAACTCTGCTACATGTGTACTAAAAGCATATGCAGAAATGTTTATAGCATCATTGATTTTAATAGCGAAAAATTGGAAACAGCCTAAATATCCATCAGCAAGAGAACAGAAAGGTAAATTGTGGTGTAATCACTCAATATGAAAATCAATCATAGCTTCACAGAAAAAAAACAAATGATTCTCACAAACAAAATGTGAAATGAAAAAAAAGTAAATTAGGGAAATAAACATTCTCATAATGACACCATCCATGTCACACATGTAAAACCGCTCTATACGTTGTTTAGGTGAATATATACGTGTCTTGAAAATACAGAGAAATTCAAGGGGATGATAAACATCAGACTTCAAATAATGTAGAAACGAAGGGCATGGGATAAAGAGAGATATTCGGGGATCTCAAAGGTTTGGTAAAACTGAGTGAAGTTAACACTGGTGTGATTATATTATTTTTTATATCTTTTTGTATGCCCATAATATTTTAAAAGTAAGTAAATCTTAAGATTGTAAACTAAAACTTGGAGGGGAACTTTCATCTCTGGCTATAATAGAGTAGATGGTATCAAACTAATCCCCTAAGTGAGAACAACTACTAAATGG